GCCAGTTTGCAACAAAAACGAAATAATTAGGTGATTTTAGCAGATTGTAGCAACCAGGTTGACCCTGAAGGCCTAAATGGCGAAGGCGTGATAGATTACAGCATGAAGGAACAGTATAAGAAAAGAAGGTAAGAGTGAGATAAGACGTTCCGGTCCATTAAGTCATATATGTCTTAACTCAACACCGCGACAGAACCTCGTCAATATGACGGTCGCAGGCCTTAATAGAAAAAGTGAACAGAGAAAGACGACAGGAAGTAACAGAACGGGAAACGCTATGATTTAAAATTCACTATCGATAACTGAAATTTGAAGAAAATGTTAAGTACCATTACTGTAAGCCAACCAGTTTTTTTAAAAATTTTTGAAAAGTCAAAAAGAAGTCAAAAAAACACTGCGCAAAAACTCTAAAGCGTGAGGAATATCAATAAAAACCAAGTAATCGGTGTGGGTATCCCATGTTACTGGTATTTTTAAAACGTAAATCATTCGCTGAACGCAGCTATGCCAGGCTTTTCGATCCTCAACTGCAAATCCCCGGTTAGTAGTAACCAACGAATATTCGATTCCGCGAAAGATTGTATTAAGCAATAAATACATGCAAAATATGGTAAAAACAGTACTTTTTTCGCGTTCGGCTTTGTCTTTTTGCCTTTCTTCCAACGTATTTTCGGTCCGGCATGAGATGGTAGGGGTCTCTGGGAACGAAGCTGTTTCTTTACTTCCAACAGGTCCAGATCCAGTTCCTCAGGTACAGTCAATTTTTGCTTATTTTTCGATTTCTTTGGCTGCGTTTCATGAGTTCGCAAAGCCCTATTTTCAAGTTTCTCTACTTCTAATAGGTCCGGGTCTGTTTCTTCAGAGGTAGTCGTTGCTTGCTTGCTCTTCAGTTTTTTTTGTCGAGCTTCACGAATTCGCAAAGCTGCCCTATTTTCGATCGCAAATTCAACAATTGGCCTCTGCAATGGAAAATGTTCAAAATTTGAAATATAACCGAAAAAAGCC